TTATGCCAGTTCTTTAGAAAGCAGGCAAAATGACCATCAGCTGATCTGGAAAGTCTTACCACCTGGTTACAATTAATTTGGTATAAATATAAAACCTGTAGTTGGTTGGGTTTTCTACCTGCTTTTGAAGGAAAAAACTCCCATGTTCAGTGTTATGGGTAGGAGAAAAATACCTCCTTAATGGAGGAAAAAGTGCTTTTCAACATTTTGCTGTGAAATGAATTAGGTATTTGGTATATTGTTGTTTGGGGGGACTTCTTAAGGATATTTGTAAATCTAATGGCTGTAAATCTGTGCAATGTTGATTTGTTTGGGAGCTGGGGACTTGTTAGTGAAGTTTTGGGTTCAGTTTGCTCTTGTTTCCCACTCCTGCCACGATTTTCTCCTTCAATTAATTTTAATTGACGTGCTCAGACACCCCTACATAGAATGAATTCAAGATTTTATGATCCACAGGCACAAAGATATATATTTACTCTTTTGTCACTTCTCTAATCACATCATAGACATTGAAGTATCGACTGTCATTTATTTATTTTTTTTTCCCCTGTGTTTTTTCCTGTGTCCCTCTTGCTTTGTGAGAAAGCAATTTCCTTTGGAATTCTGAATTGACACCAACTGAAGGCCACGTTTCTGGTCTCATCTGATGGGAGGATTAATTTAGTCCCTTGTTAAGGAGACCCCAAATCCCTTCAGGCTAAAGCAAAGCTACTGGAAAAACGCCCTCAAAGCCCTGAAAGCACACAAATTAAAGGACTGTAAACCCTGGGCAAAGATTGTATCAGTGATGAATCTGCCATTTCATTTCACTGCAAGACCCCACAATTATGGGAAAACCAACAAGAGGCCACAGGAGTGAGGAGGGAAAGGGGGGGGGGGGTCTTTTGTTTAAGTAAAACTTGCAGGGACGAAACTCAATCTTTGCTTTTCTGTCACTGGTGCTTCAAAGGCACCAGGGTGACCTTTTCTTCAACTTGGTCGTGTTTGACACTTCAGAAATGGCCTCTTGTGATCAAAATAAACCCAGGGAACGTGGTGGTTTGTGGGCTAATAAATGTGTTGTAGGGATTTGCAGGTGGTGGGGGATCCATCATTTTCCACGTTAGGTCTTGGCTGTGATGGTGATTAAGGAGAAGATGCAGCTCTGCCAGCAAAGAGGAGAGGAGGTTTTGTAAATACACAGCTGTTTAGTGGGATTTATATAGATTTTTGCCTCAGGTATTGAGAAAAAACAAAACCCTGGAATGATTGAACAGTGTTGCTGGCAGTGCCTTTCTTTACAAAACATACCTGTTAAAGGCTGGATATCAGGTGTCCATTCTTCTCACAGACAGAGGAAGAACTAAATAAATAAAGGCACAAACCTAAATTTGCCCTTGTTTTCACCCTTCTGACTTCATTATTGTAGCAGAACTAAATAGAGTTTGATCAACTGCCTCGTCCCTGCTGGGATAATCCAAGTGATGAAACTTCAGCCTTGTTTTTAAATGCACCTTTTTAGGATTCTCCTGCAGATTTTACCCTGTTGGCAGAGGGTGGCACTGGATGATCTTTAAGTTCCCTTCCAACCCAAACCATTCCATGATTCACCTTGAGTTATGCAGGTGTACTTCTGCTGTGACCTAAAGCATTGTACAGGCCATTCCAAAATTATTTGGAGCACAGGAGGAATGCTGTCAGCTTGATCATCTTTAGAACAACCAGTATTTGTGATTAAAAGGTGAGTAACACATTAGTCTGGATTCTGTTATGGCAAAGGTTCAGATATGAGTAGGGACAATCAAAGGCTCATATAAAATAGAAAGCTGTGATAATAAAAACAATAAATGTTTATCCTGGTACACATCTGTGCTAGGTTGTGTATATATATATATAATATATATATATGCATGCACACATATATATATATGTAATTAAAAATGCAACTCTACCACCAATGGCAAGTGAAGTCTGTACAAGGAAAGATGTTGGTAAAGTAATACTGACATTCTTTTTAGTGGGCCTTTAGATTCTGTAAGTTAAGTCAGGCAAAGTTAGGCCTAAAAGATCCTTTAATGAAGAGATTATAACTGTAGAAATAGTGAATGTTTAATCTCTGGGAAAACTGAAATATGAGACTGGTGAGACAATCTAAGTAGTCACAGAACCACCAAGGCTGGAAGAGACCTTCAGGATCATCCAGTCCCACCCCAGCACCACCAGGATCACCCCCAATCCATGTCCCCAAGGGCCACATCCAGACAATTCTGGGACACTCCCAGACACAGGGACTCCACCACCTCCCTGGGACACTTATTCCAAGGCCTGACCACTCCTGCAGGGAAAAACATTTTCTAATCTCTGATCTGAACCTGCCCTGGTGCAATTTGAGGCCATTTCCTCTCCTCCTTTCCCTTGAGACGAGGCAGAAAAGCCCCGACCCCTCCCCACTCAAACCTCTTTTCAGGAGTTCTTCTTTTAAAAAAAAAAAACAAAAAACTTCTCAAATACTTGATTTTGTTACCAGGCAATTTCTGTGTCATTTGTGAGTGCAAATGCTAAAGCATTTCTGCCTCACAAACAGAAGAGCTGATGGGTGATTTTGTGTAAATACATTTTGTTCCATAATGCACCTTTTTCGTGGGCCCTTGGGTCTGAGTCACTAAAATGCTTAATGCAGAGTCTGCAGCTTTCAAACAACTTGAGATGAATGAGGGGTTTTGTATCTCTCCCTCTATTCATGAATTAAACTGTTTCCTGAGGAGAAAGTTTTGGAAGGATTTGGTTTTGTTCTGCCAGTTCCCTTACGGAGGGGTTGCCAAAGTAAATCTTGGGGGGGGTGCTCTGCAGTTAATGGATCAACTGAATTCTCAGCCTTCTGCTAAAAGCAGCTGATAGAATTACCCAGCCTGGAAATCATGATTCTATGGAGTGTAATTAAATAGTAAGTGTTTCAGTGAATTGGATGGATTTTGTCTCTGGAGCTCGTAAAACTGTTATTGGGAATATTGCCTTTTCTGGGCTCTGCTGCTGTTGTCATTCAGTGTAAATGTAGCTTAGGAAAAAAAGATTCCTATTGTGGTTTTTTTTTCTCTTAATCCAAATTATTGCTGCATTATAGTTAGAAAGAACACTCAGCAAACTTCTGTATCATGTGAGGATATGATTTCCTTGGATTTATGTGGCCTTCAGGAGCTTGGCTTAAAAGATCTCAGAAACAGAATTCAGGACTGTTCAATGAACATAAACCTTTAATTATGATTTTTCACATGAATACATACAACAGAAATATAAAATTATTGTGTGGACACCTCTCCAGCATTCCTGTACCAGTGGAACATTAAATTCCCTTTTCCTGACATCATTTTAGGGAATGGGAATCAAAAGGAGCATTTGCTGGAAATGTCGCAGCTGTTGAAATACCGAGGGAAGTTTTGTGGAACAGAGCCCCGAGCCAACATTTCATCTGTGAAATGCTCTTTCTAGGCCTGTGTTTGAAGTAGCAAACTCATGATAAACTGGTTCTTTGGGGATGCTTTGTTATCCTTTTCCTGTAAATGACAGATGGTTTCAAGGTCACCGTAAACTTTGCAGGGTCAACTCACAGATGAGGCAACAAATCAGAACTGGAAACTGGAAGTTCACAGCAGTTGAATCACAGAGATCACAGAATCAGAGATGCTGCATCAGTTCACTTCCAGGCTTCTCTTAATTACTGGCAGGCTGGGAAGGGGTCACAGTGCATTCTGTGTGTGTCTGAGGTGTCATCACACACCTGTCAAGTCATCTCGGATGTTTTCTGTTTCTTTTTGCCACAAACTGAATCCTGATGAAGGTGGGGAATAAGTAATTTCAGGGTGTCTTGGGAAAGACACCCAAGATGTGTGTCTGGAACTAAAATGCCTGTATTTTAGTTCCATATGGCTGGAAGTGGAGATGTGGAAATGGTGAACGGGTGAGATGTAAAAGCTGAGTTTTCGTGTTTAATCTGAACTTCAGGGTTTAAATTTCAGCTGGTTCTTGTCATTCCCTACATTATAATTTGCTGGCCCCTTGTGAAAATTGAATTAATAGATCCTATTTTTAGTTTGCAAGCAGAGATCAAAAAAAAAAAAAAGTCCTTCATTTTAATGCCTGAATTTATTTGGAATCCTAATTTGCCAGACTTCAAATGTGTGACACCAGGGCTTTGTTTGCCAGGACATCACTGAGAGGAAGATCTGACACACACTTTAAGTGGTTCTTAAAACTGGCCTGACCTTGTCTGCACAAGCCACAGTGATGCAGAAAAGGTCAAGGATCTGGAATTCTGCCTTTGCCTTGTCTCCAGGGAAACCAGGGCCAGTTTTGGTTGGGGATAAGAGACATGAAGCATAATAAATTTGAAACACAGTGAGGCCAAATAATTAATCCTTGGGCTAATTAAAAACTGCTGGTGGCAAGGCAAGTGCTGACAAACTCTGTGAGCACACACAGTGCTGTGGTGAAGGAAAAAAAAAGGTACCACATGATGTGTGTTTTAATGTGTCATTAAATGAAATCATAGTTGTTAGTCGAGGCTGACTTTTTTTCTGGCTGGCAAAAGACTCTTTTCTGATTCCAGGGGGGGAAAATCTGATAATAACAGAATGACAGAACCCCAGAAAATATTGCAACTCTAGTTTAGAACTTGTCTTGCCAGTGGGTTGTACTGGAAATGGATTATTTCAATGGGGCATTCAGGATTTATATCAGAATAAATATGCCCCATGGAGCTAATGAGCAACAGTCTTTGCATTTTAAATAATTTCTCGCTCAAATTCCTTGTGTTTCAAAGCCTTTGGGTTATTTTGGGCCTGTACATTATGTTATTCAGTCTCACAATCAAACTTTCACTGTATCAGGACTGCAATGTAAGAAAGAGTAATTAAGCACAACGCTCTTCATGTCCTTTATCTTAAACCAACTTGATTTAAAGCTCACAATCTTTTGTTCAGCTTCAGGGTTTTATTTCAAAGCCTCTCCAGACACAAAAGGATTTCCTCTTATTTCCCAGTTCCATTGACTCATTCTCCTTGGTAAGATGGTTATAAATAATTTTATATTTTGAGCTTTGATGTGTTTCTCTCTTTGCTCAGATGTTCGTCCGTGTATTTCTGACAGTTCTTTTTTTTTTTTACCTCTCGACTTTCTGAGCTTGATTTTTGTGTTTCTCAAGGCTGAGCACTGTTCTTTATCAGGCTGAACTCATTTCTTCTTCCTCTTCCTCAGAGTTGGCATCATCATCATCATTGTAGAAGTGAATTGTAGCTTGGACTGGAAAACTCGCCAGAACCTTCTCTCCCATGTTAGTAAGAAACTTTTGGGATTTGGACTTGGGCAAATAAAGTCTAATAAGAAAAAAAAAAATATTTTAAGAGGAAAAAAAAAAAAACAACCATGTGACATTTGTCCACCTGAGCTAGCTGGAAGATTAAAACTGATTTTCTGGAAATTAAATAATTAATTCTGGAGTTGAGATTAGGATACCAGGGTTAGGTTGGGGTTGGGTGCTTGTAAAGAAAGGGGATATTCTATTAATTTTCCCCCTCTAAAGGAAAGTCCCAATCAGGAGTTTCTACATCATTAAACCCTAAAGAATCCAAATGTTGGTGAAAACCCTTCTCAGTCCCTCAAGCACAGGAAAAGCTTTACCTGGAATTAATTTTAACCCAATCTAAGCAACCTCCAGACCCAGATCTGTAACACATTCCACTGGCAGCTGTTCCCATTGATTATTTGGGCTTTGTGAGCTCTTTATCATATTAATAAATATAAATATAAATTAGATGAGGCAGAAAAATGTTGAGGTTTTTTTAGGATTACTTCTTCCTTATTTTTGTGTTGTTTCAGGGTCTGTTCAGCCTTTTTTCCTCGTGGAGGGATAAAAATCTGGGCAGTTTAATGAGTAATTAAACTGCTTTACTAAAAAGGAATGTTCCAGAGGCAAAGTGATTCATCTCCTGAGAAGGAATATGTCTCCTCTTGGAAGGTGTCACTTTTCCTGTGTCAAGTGATAAGATTTAACTCACCTCACTGGATGTTGAAACCCCAGGGCTCCTTTTGATCTACAGTTTATTAGTTGACCATCCAGTTCTGACTGTAAAGAGATATTATTTATTTTATATATATATTTATTTATTATTTATTATATATATATTATTTATTTATTTTTATTTTTTTTTTTTTTTATGATTTAGAATAGGCTAAAAATGAAGATTTCACTTATTTTCTTCCTTAAAATTCCCCAGTGATGTTGATTTCTCTGCTCTGCTGCACCTTGGTTTCCTCTGACTAAGTGGATTTCGGAGAATTCCTGTGCCAAAAGTTGCACATTTAACCAAGTTTGTCCATTTTATGAGCCACAAAGCCAGGGAAATGTACATTTTACTTTAGTTCTTATGGAATATCTGTAGTGAGCTGATAACCCCACCAAATGGGAGTTCAATGATGGGAAGAAAATAGGATTTTCCATCAGTTTAAGGACTGGGTTTTCCTGGCTGTGTAATACTGAGTTGCCAGCTGGGGTTGAACCCCAACAGGGTTTTATAAAATACCTCTTTCCCAACACTAATCAGAAGCTTAATTCAGATCAAAGATCACAAAAATCACATTAAGGGCCCAAACAGCAAAATCAAGACACAACTGGCATCTCATATTTCAGTGCTAAAAACAGCATTAAAAAAGCTCCTTTCACATTTACATTAAAATTAGTCTTTTCTATCTTTATTTACCTGTAGTTTCTACTGTTTTCTCTTTGGAATACATATAATTTTGAAATAATCGTATAAATAATAGGAGGTATTGATTAAACACACATTATATACTTTTTCTTTTCAGACTATCAGACAACACTTTTGAAAAGCAGCTCTGATAAAAGCCAATTAAATGGAAAATCTACCTCAATTTGTAGACAGCAGAAAATGTTCACTCTTAATTTATATTTTATTGTAGTTATGGCAATAGTAACTTTAATATTATTCTGTAGAATCACAGACTAGTTTGGGACCATAAAGGTCTAACCCCCTTCCATGGGCAGGGAAATCACTTCTCGTGGCTTTTCTTTGGGCATAAATAACAGTATATTTATATTTAGTTGGGAAAGTGTTACTTTTTATATAAGGAAAAGCATATTTTGTATAGGTAGCTTTAGGGTGCATTGTCACACACGTTCTTGGCAATAGAGGTGAAATTATTAGTTTGATATTTTTCACCAGTGCTTCTTATTTTTTGGTGCTTTTCTCTGCATCTTTCAATTTGTCAGGTTGGATTCTTACATGTAAATTCCTAAATCGTTGTTTGAGGGGTTTTTTTTAACTACACAGAGGATATTGAAACTTTAATTTCCTTTACTCTCCAGTGTTTGGAGCATCTCCTGATCCTTCAGCCCTCATTATATCCCACACTCCAGAGGCATCTCAGATGCTGCAGGGGTGTGGATGGACCAGAAAGTTTGGATAAGAAGGGTCTGAGAAGCTTCTGGAAGGATATTTTAAATTTTATTTAAAAATTTAAAAATTTTATATTTTAAAAGATTTTAATATTTTAAAAAATTGAAACCAACTCTTTAATTTATAACTGGCTTCAAACCATGCCAGGAAAAACTTCCTGTGTGCTTTGTTCTCCTCACACAAGTGGGCAGAAGCCCGAGTGTGAATTAAAACTTTTGAGCTGGTTGGATAAAGTTTTCAACAAAAACATAATGTCAGTAAGAAATCACAGTTTCCTGATGTCACAAATAGTTTCTTGAAATCATCACTGTAAGAGTGAGAATTCTCATGAGAATAAGACAGCAGGACCTGTGTTGATTGTTCTTAATTCTCTATTTTTGTTCTTGGAGCCCAACCAATCTTCCCACCTGAGGAAGTAAAATTAATAATCACAGTACATCTCAAAGGCAGTAAGAGTTACTTTAAAATTCAATTTTCTCTTCATTTCCTGGGTGGTTTAGCTACAGCAACATCCCTCCCCCCCCAAAAAAAAAACAAAACAATAAATAAGACTGTGCACCTGAAAGTATAGTTTTTTACATTTCACCTTAAAGCCATTTTCACTCCCTCTCTATACAAAGCATCACATCCATACCAAGCCTGGAGATTTCAAAAGGAGGATTTTTTTTATATATATATAATTAATCAAATATGAACTGCTGTTAAAATAAGGGTTGTGTGGAGTAAGCAACTGTTTCTGCAGCTCTTTAAGAGCTGATAATGATTCTATATCTGACCCAAAATTAGAGATACTCTTAACCATCCCCAGGTACAGGACAGTGTCACTGGAACTGTGTTTTCTAAAACTGAAAGAAAAAAAAATGCTTGAAAGAACAAATGAAGGAACGACCAAGTCTCGTTTTCCCATGTCCAATTCCTGCCCTTGTTTTCCAGAGGGATTATTTTCTCCAGAATTCAGCCTCACCAGTTGTTGATTCTCTGGGGTCTCCCCATCCCTTGCTGGGAGCATCCAGGGTCTCCACAAAGCGGGGCTGCTGCAAGGTCAACATACAATAATCATGGAATATCCCGAGCTGGAAGGGACCCCCAGGGATCATCCTGTTGCCGTGTGATTTAGGTGCTGAAAAAATCTCCAGAGCAGTAAATTAGGGGTGAGATAAGAAAGGGTTTATTTGCCAAGGCAAAGATGTTACAAGACGCCCCTGTGCCCGAGAGGTTACATTTTATAATTCCATCCATCCAATCCCAGATGTGTCCACCCTGTGGCCTTTACTCTGGACCACCCCGGGTCCACCCCCTAAAAATGGGTCTGGGGTGCATTTTGGGACCACCTACTTCATCACCTTCATCATCATCAGAGCACAAAGGGTACATAGTTACCTAATTCTTGACCGTATTCTGTGGTTTAGGCCCAGATATGCTGTTCTGTCAACTGCCTAGGCCTTGCCTTGACAAAAGACTAAACATTTCTGTTAGATTTGGGGCTATGAGTGATATAGGGAGGATAGAATGGGGTAAGAGGGTTAAGGAATGTATAAACAAGGGTACTGGAGAAAGGGAAAGGGACAAAGAAGGGAGGGTTTCTGCTTTTAAAACCTACTTATAAAACTTACAAGTCTTACAAATATTAGAAAAACAGAAAACCATTAGGGGCTTAAGGCATCATCCAGTCCAACTCCCGGCCCTGCACAGCCCCAACGATCCCACCACGCCCCTGAAAGCATTTTGATTTGGTAAATCTGATTTCTAGGGCAATATTTTCCTCTTCTGCCTCCTGAGTGATTAAACAAACCACACGATCTCTTGCCCCTCCGAAGATCTCCTTTTTTTCCCCTTCAGGATTTCCCAGCTCCGAGTGTCTGCAGTGAACTCAAAATGATCTAAATGATGAGGAAATCTTTTTATTTCAAAAGAAAAACCACCCCTCCCTCCCTCCCTCTCTGCCAGGGTGTCTGAATACACATTCCATGTTGTCACTGGGAGGCTGGTTATTCATTGAATCAGCAATTCCAGAATTAATCAGACAGAATCCAGAATTAATCTAATCTAATTAGCCTAAGAGAACACATGGAGTGGTGGGTGCTGCATCTGACTATTTTTTTTTTGGGGGGGGGGGGAATTCCTTTTTTCCACAGTTTTTTCCATCTCTTCTGCTGTGCAGGATCCAGGTGGGCAAATGGAAAAGTGCTTTCTGCTATAAAAGGCAAATAAATGTAAAAATAATATTAATAATAAATCGGTGATCACAACCTTAATTTTCATTTATAAGTAATATCTGACTGACAAGGATAAAGTTAAAAAAAAACCAACAAACCCCTAAACAAAATGAACCTATCAAACATTTAACAAGAAACATTTTCAGACACGTTTTTTGCGACATGAAGCTGAAAGATGTTTTCTGCCGGAAATAGTGACATTCAAATGATTCTTACAGTTGGATTTTCCCATGGAATGCTGCTGGAAAAGCCTCTCCCTGTGCCTTCCTTACCTCTCCTGGTGCTCCCTGAGCCGAGGCAGGTGCTGCTGGAGCTTCCAGGAGCCCCGGGAATGGGGATGGATGTGTCCTGGGGGATCCCGGAGCGGGAGGGTCGTGGCTGCACCTTCCATGGCCTTGGATGCTCTAAAGCCTGGGCCAGGCTGGGCTTTCAGCCCCTCCTTTATCTGAACTGCCACAGAAACTCACCTAAAACAAATAAACTCACCTAAACCAAATAAACTCACCTAAAACAAACAGGGCCTCAGGTAAAAGGAGGGAAATGTCCTTAATGAGGGGTTTTTTTTTTCCACTCCCCCGAAGAGTTCAAAGGTAGGATGGGCTCCCACCTTGGCTGTCCCAGGAGGGCACTCCCAGGGAAACAAAAGATTTTTGTCAGCAAATCCCATGGGATGTAATGCCTTTTATCCTTCTGTCTCTGTTTTATGGAATCTGTACTTGCTCCATGTGAAATATGTGACGTAAACACACTTTTTGCACGAGCTTGGAAAAGCTCATCCAGACCCTCTCCTAAAAAAAAAAAGGAGTGTAAAGAGAATTTTAAATGTAAAGTAATATTTTTAATGGCTGAAGTATTTTTCATGTCCTGGCTTTAAAAGAGAAAAAAAACAAACCCAAAAACAGTGAAAGTGAGAGGATTTAAAGACAGGCCTGGTGACTCCCTCAGGACTACAGGGTTGTTCCTTTGATTAAATTCCTATTTGATGGATGGAGAAAGATTAGGCCAAGGATTGCTTTGCCCACCAAAGAACAAGGGTTATGGGTGGCATTGCTTTGAGGAACCTTTGATTTCAAAGTATAAAATAGAGAATCACAGAATGGTTTGACTTTGGAGGGACCTTAAAGATGATCCTGTGCCACCCCCTGCCCTGGACAGGGACACCTTCCACCAGCCCAGGTTGCTCCAAGCCCCGTCCAACCTGGCCTTGGACACTTCCAGGGATCCAGGGGCAGCCACAGCTTCTCTGGGAATTTTATCCCAGCCCCTCAGCACCCTCACAGGGAAGAATTTCTCCCCAATATATTCTTTTTTCTTCCTATATATGCTTTAAGGCTGAATAGAAATCAGCTTGGTTTCTCATGTGAACTTTCCGGAGAGGGAAAAATAATTTCATTTACTGAGCATGGAGTGCTTGTTGATTATTTATTATGAATTAGGTACCTTCTGTCTAAATCTACTCCCAACCAGGTTTAAATACCTTGTGATATCTGTGAAGTTATAACTAAGTAAATAGTGCTATAACTCAAAGAAAAGAAAATATGTGCACAGTCTCAATCACTTTAAATATTTATGTATCAAGATCAGTACAATTATTGGAATAAAAAATAAATGAATAATGTTCAAATTACAAAATATATATTAAATAGAAGCACAGGTCCTGAGGAGAAATTGGCAAACTTCTCAAGTAACTTAAATTGTAATTAAATGCCTTGCTAAATTACACTCTTAAATACACATATACAATATCAGCAGCTTAGTTTTATTTAATCCTGATTTAACCTGGTAGTTGAAAGGGAAGTTTGCATTACACAACTCATGTTTATGGTCCTGATCTGTATGTGAGGATAATTGCTTTATACCTCTGGATGGAATCTGCCAACATGGATAATAGTGCAGGACTAAAGCCTGAACTACTTACCTGTAACTCTCCAGAAGATGCAAAGTTATTCTCAATTAAATCTGTTGATAAAGACCAAATTTATTACAAAATTATTGAAAATATAATTTCATTGATGAAGCTGTAATGTAATCTAATATAATGATGTGTAACACTGTAGAAAAAATGTGAGTCAATATTACATTACAGTACTAATTAATCAAACCACACCACTTTAATTGGCATTTTCATGGGAATCATTAGCTCAAGGTTGCAGAGCTGTAGAAAATGGTTTGTGGCAGAAGGGTCAGTCACAGCTGTATAATTTTAAGAACTATGTTACTTTTTGATACATTTAATTTTAATATAAGGTGCTTAACTTTAATATTTGGTGAGGAACACTTCACAGGATCAGAAAACACTGGTTCTCTTATGTTGCTCATCCATTTTCCCAAAAAGCCAGGAGTACTTTTCAGACCTCTGACATCACCTGAGAATAACTTGGACAGACTCAACTCTTACAAAGAGATGAGCCACGTGATCCAACTCAGCATATTCTGTGATTCTCTAATCATTTTGTTTTAATTGTAAGAGCCTTTTTATCTTTGTGGGAAATGAGTTTTACTCAGTTTTCTCATAAAAGCACTGGTGCATTTGCAAGAATAAAAGGTGTTCTGTATAAATTGGTGTGTTTTATATAAATTGAATATATTCAAGGAAACAGGATACCCCTACAGCATTTTGGATAATGTCTGGTGTTAAACAAAATAACAGGGGCACTGACAGCATGCAAAGCTCCTCAAATAGAAAAAACCCTTGGAAAAGCTTTTGAGGTACAGAGGGAGAAGGAAATGGAGCTGTTCACAAAGCACAGCAGGGTCAGTCTCAAAATATTCCTTTAAAGTCAGAAAGAGAAGCTGATCTACACTGAGGTTACACGGCAGAGTTGGCTCCATGGGATGTCTGAGGGCTGATATTACTCACTGTTTCTTTCTAAGGCTTCCTTCCACCTTCCTGTAAGGAGGAACTGATTGACACAGTTATTATAGAAAACCTATTTTACTACATTTCCCAATGCATACAAGGCCTTGGCATCATCATCATCATCATCATCATCATCATCATCATCATCATCATCA